GGTTGGATGGGTGGATGGATGAGTGAATGGATGGTTGGATGGGTAGATGGATGGTGGACAGATGGGTGGTTGGATGGGTGGATGGATGAGTGAATGGATGGATGGATGGGTAGATGGATGGTGGACAGATTGATGGACAGATGGGTGGATGGATGGGTGGGTGGATGGGAGAGGAGGGAAGAGAGATGCTTGACACTGTGGGAGTTTCCTTTGGTCCAGAAATAAATTAAGGCAGAGTTTCCTGGAACCAGGAGGTTCTGGCTCTGGCTGCTTGAGAGCAGATGACCTTCCCAGGCCTTGTCTGTAGGCTGAAAGCTGGGGGGGGTCTGAGAATGGAGGCCATGTTGATCCGGGTCCCATAAACTTACATCGAAGTCTACTTTCTCCCCTTCCGGGATCTTAGGAGCAGTGAGTCTGAAGGAGAGAGAGGCTTGTGAGCAGGGGTAGGTAGAGACCTACCAGGGGTCTGGCCTTCCCACCCTTCCCCCTGGGTGACAGCTGAGGACAAGTGTGCGTGTCCTGGTCAGGCGTGTAACCCACTGTCCCCAGAGCAGCCTGACCCCTTTGAGAAGAGTTCAGCCTCTTTGCGTCCCTCTGTTTTGCCAACATCTGGACATCGAAAGGGCTGTTTCACCCCCGTCTGTCCAGGAAGGGCACTCTCTCCTTCTTTCTCAAACAAAGAAGTGCAGGCAGGCCAGACCAGACACAGGCTGGCCACTGCAGACCCCTGAGGGGCGTTGGCCTCTGTGGTCGGGAACGGCCATCCTGACCCTTTTTGTGTCTCCGGCCCCTCTTTAAACTGTCTTCCTGGGGACCCAAAGAAAGGGGGCTGGACAGAAAGCAGTTTGAGGAGGAAACGAGGCCCCCGGATCCCGGGCCCTGCCCCCCAGTGCTTTCCAGATGGAGCAAAGAGTTATGACAACAGCAACAGTTGTTTAAAACAAGCCACAGAAGAAAGTGGGTCTGAATATGGACCCAAATGCTGGAACAGGAGAGGGTTTTCTAAGCTCGGCAGCACCAGAAGGTCCCGCTAAGGGAAAGATGGCCAGACGACTCCATGCAAATGAAAAACTTATGTATGTGAAAAAAAAAAAAAGCAAAAATTGGAAGGGGGGTGGGGGGAGCCCAACCCAGACTAGAAAAATATTTTCAGCGAGTACAGAGAAGACTTATATCCTTGTGCAAACCGATGGCTGAGAAAACGTGCAGACGCCTTTGCCGTTAGATAAATGGGCAGAAGGTGCACGATGCCAGGTCTCGGTAAGAAAGACGGCCAGTGAGGCAGGGCGCGGGAGAGGCTCTCCCGGAGTAATCGGAGGCGTGGGAGCAGAAGCGGCCCCGAGAGGCCCTCCTCATCCATCAGTGTCCCCGGGCGCGGCAGCGTGGGGCACAGACCCGCTCACGTCCACGTCGGAGCCCGCGCTGGCACGGCCCCCGTGGAAAGCAATTTGGCAACGGACGTCAAAAGCCTGAAAGACGTTCATACTCTTTGACCCAGTAATTCTAGTTCTGGGAATGTGGCCTAGGGAAATAACCCGAAAGACAGAAAACGATTTCTACCCAGCGTTATTTATGGTAGTAAAATATTGGGGGAAGCCTTAATGTCCCGCAGAAGGCGAACGGTTCCAGAAATTACGGTTTGTCCAATTGATGGAATATTATGTGGCCATTCAAAATATTTAAGAAGGCTATGTAAAAACATGGAAAAATACTTATGAATAGTGCTAAAATTTAAAAAAGCAGAATTGAAGGTTGTATAGACAGTACGATGTTTGAAAAACGGCTCAGAGTTTCAATCTTTTTTTCCGAGCCCTATGCATGGAAAGAGCAGGAAGAAGTAAGGCTTTAATTCTTTTCTGCCTTTTCCCGCAATCTGGCTGGCGGGCGGGGAGAGTTATAGATGATTTTCTTTCTTCATTGGACTTTTACGTATTTTCCAAATTTTCTTTAATGAGGTGTTTTATTTTCATAATGAAAACACAAACATTTTTTTAAAGCTAGAAAATATCTCGTGACCCGGCAGCTTTATTTAAAATAGCAGAAAAATAAAGTGCAGCGGGTGGGAACATGCTGGCCGTACCCGGAGCGCGCCGCGGCCCCCCGGACCCCGGAGCGCTCCCCAGGTGGGCGCGAACCCCGGGCACGTGCTGGTGAGGACTTGGGTTAAAAAAACAAATCCCTGAAATGCTCACAAGCAGGTCAAAGCAGGGAAAGACCATCCAGACCAGGACGATGGCTCCCCAGAGGCCCCAGTGGGGGCGGTGGGTCCACTCGCGGTCTTCTTCTGAAGGGGCCACGGGGCAAGACCCTCCCTCCGGCCCCTCTCAAGGGTGCCTCACGTCTAGGGCCGGGAGAACCCCACCGCAGGCCGCGCGCAGTGGGGGCCGGGGAGCAAGAGGGGAGCTCCGCTGTGCCTCCCTCTCTCTGCCCTGTCTCCCCCGACCCCCTGCTCCCCGTCCTCCCTTGGCCCCCCAGCCTCCTCTTACAGCAAGCCTTCCTTGCCCACACAGGGCGAATGGGTGGGGACGCCCCACCGTACCCCCAGCGATCGTCTCTGCTCCCCGCCTGGGGGGGAAGGCACCAAATAACCCCATTTTCATCAAGGACCTTCACCAGATGCCTAGAGCTTTAAACACCCAACCAGGGAGCAAAGAAGCAGCCACCTTCTCGAAGGGGTTTGGGGTTTCGTCCCCTACAGAGCCCAAAGGCGTTGTCTTCCACGGGACCCCAGTTTCCCAGGTGCCCCCTGCCTCCGGCCCACCCTGGTGTCCAGCCCTGCCCGGGCCCCACACTCACCTGGGTCTCGGTTTCTCCTCTGGACACCGCAGCGCCGGCATGGGGAGAGGGGAGAGAGACCGGATGAGCCCGGTGGCCTGCTCCTGCCCACAGGCCCCTTGGGGCCACCCGGCTGGGGGCTGGGGGCTGGGGGCTCCTGCCTGGACGCCCGCCTGCCTCTCCCCCTCCAGCCGAGCCTACCACCCATAGGCCTGCCCGCCAGCAGCAAGAGAAAGTCCCTGTGGGGTCCCAGGAGGAGAGCTCGGGCGTGTGGACCAGGATGTGGCACGGGAGGGGGAACGAGGGAGGAAGGGGGGAACGGACTCCAGGGGCACGGCGTCCTCGGGGGATCGAGGAGGAAGAGAGGAGGCACCCCCTGTCCAGGCGCCTGGTCCCCTCTGACCACCCCACCTCTGTGCCGGGCAGAAATAGGAACTGGACATCGTGTGCGAGGCCCGGGCAGCCGTGCCCCACGGTGGACGCCATGCGAGCAGCCGGCCTGGCCGTCGGGAGGAAGACAGACAGGCGGGCGAGGGAGAGGGGTACAGGCCCAGTGTGTCCTCTCTAAGGGTCCGGCCAGGGGCCCTTGCCTCCCTCACCCTCCCTCTGCTCCTCTGGGGAGGCGGGGGCCGAGGGTACGGGGGCCGTGGGGGCCGACGCCAGCCAGGGACAGCACCCGGACCCCACCAGTGCCCTGGCTGTCTGGGGACCCGACGCAGGAGCTGAGGGCGGCCGTGATGGGGAGGCCTGGTGGAGAGCGGACGTCCCCGGCAGGCTGAGCCCCTGGCTTCTCTGAGTCCGTCCACCGGGGCCGGCAGAGCCCATCTGGGAAAGCTGAGACCCTCCCTAACTTGGGAGCCTTGCAGCTGAGGGTGGGTGCTTCGGGGGGGCCTGCCGTGGGGCCATCCACGCTGAGATCTCCAGTCCCCACGCTACCCCCCTCCCCGACCTGCCTGCCTGGGCCTGGCTGCCCTCCCGCGGGGGCTGCTTCCTTTGGCCACCCCGTCCCCCGCCTCCGGCCTTGGGGAGGTCCCGGCTGGCGGGGACACAGCCTGGGGTCTGCAGATGTCTGACAGTTGCCTGACCCTTGTGCCTCGCTGTCCGCTCTGGGCCCTTCAGAGAGATGAAGGGTCCACCGTATTGCCTTCAGCCTGCACGACCCAGAGAGGCCGGGCTGAGAACTCGGCTTTGACCACCTGCTCCCCTGCCTGTGCCCTTGGCCGACCACGGGTGGGGGTGGGGGGTCCGGCTGCACGTGCACTTGGCGTACCCCCAGGTGTCCCCCTCGGCTTGGGCTCACCCGGGGTACTTAGGAGCCTGCCACACACCCACAATCGGCACCCCGGTGGGGGGCCGAGAGCGTGGAGGAAACTGGGTAGGAGGAGGGGGTGCTTTGGGAGCAGGAAACTGACCAAGGGGCAGAAGGAAAGGGAAGGGGCGCCTCTGAGCTGTCTGCCTTCTCTGGGGGCCCAGCTGGAGAGGTCCCGGGGCTGCCCCCCAGAGCTAGGGGGGCTGTGCTGCAAAGCTCCCCCAGGTGGAGCCCCCCACCCCCCCACCCCGCTCCCACTTGCCTGTTTGACTCTCCGTCTCAAGGTAGGTCCCGGGGTGACCTGGTGACCTCTAGCCCCTGCAGGACTGCTCCCCAGACCCCTGTACCTGGGCAGCCCAGCATCTGCCCACCAAGCCCGGGGTCAGCACCCCTCACCGCCCCCCGCCCCGGGCAGCCTCTCTGAAGCCGGAGAAGAGAAGACGTGCTCAGGGTTGTGCTCAGGGTTCAGGCCCAGCCAGGAGGCCCCCGCAGCCCCGCCGAGGGGAGGGACTGCAGACAGCTCGGGCCCCTGACTCGAACCCGCGTCTCCCTGGCCTCCACCCCGACACGGCCCCCCCCCCCCGGGGGCCTCCTCCCGCCAAGGGTGTGTCTGGCCCCCACCCAGGTGCTGGGTGGGATGTGGGACCTGATTGCACGCGAGGCCCCCGGCTGCTCTAGGTCACCGCCATCCTGCCTGGGGCCCCAGCCTGACTTTCCGCTTCACCCCATGTGGCCGCCCACCCTCCCCTCGACCTCACCCCTCCTGACGCCCCCTCTCTGATGTGCTCTCTGGGGCAGGGCGAGGCGCTGTCCTGTCTCTCCCCCTCTGCTCTTCTCCACCAGAACCTGTCGGGTCCAGAGGGTCCTAGTGGACCTCGGCATCCTCTTCTGGGGGCCAGCGCCCTGCCGTGGGCTCTGCCCTCAGGCTCCGGCTGGCCACCCCCACCTGCCTGCCGGGGGGCCCGGGAAGGGCCTCATCCCCGCAACCCCGGAATGCTGTCTGCCAGGGGGCCAGGAGGAAGCCTGTAGGCCACCAGTCAGTCTTACCGGAGCCAGCACCCGGGACCTAACCTTTCCCACCTTGTCCTCAGCCCATGGGAAGGAGGCGGGAGACGGGCCGCAAGTGGGGGAGGGTGGGGATGGGGGGGGGGGCAGGGGCAGGGCATACCTTCTTGGACTTCCTCTGCGGGAGCAGCAGAACGGCACCGTGGGGGTGGGGGAGAGAGAAAATCAGCTGTGAGCCTCGGCAAAGGCTGAGGGGGACAGAGGTGAGGGGTGGCGGGGCCCAGCAGAACCACACTGTGAGTAGGTTACTCGGCCCCTGGGCGCCTGGCCACACCCGCACGTGGTCACGCGTGTGCACAGGCACCCACACGGGACTGAAGTCATGGCACATACCTGGTTCATGAACTTCTAGGTTAGGGAGGGCCACGGAACAAGAGGCAACACCACGCGTGGGTCAGAGGTCAAAGGAGGAAGGATCCCAGGTTAATGGAAACACCGGTTCGCCACTCGGGGGGCGGGGGGTCAGCGGCCGAGGCCAAGGGGCGGGGAGCATGCGGGAAGCCAGCGAGGCACCGTCAGCGTTCATGGGCACTGCCGCCCCCCACCTCCCCGATCCTGTCCCTGCCTCGCTGATCTGCCGGGAGCAGGGCTCAGGGTGGAGTGGCAGACCCCTGGTTGTGGGGGACACTGGGGTCCCCGCCTGTCCTCTGCCCCCCGGGAGGGGCTGACGGGGGCTGGCAGCCTCTGGCTGCGGCCTGGTAAGGTAGCAGCGTGAGTCCTGAGGGCAGGGCCTATAGCCCAGGGGTCACCCCTCCCGCCGGCCCCAGAGCAGGGCACCCACCACCCTGTTGTCTAGCCTCCGAGGGACACGCTCGGCTGCTCAGCCCGCCCATCCGGGCACAGGGTCCCCTACCCTGCCGCTGTGCACCTGGATCCTGAAGAGGGGCCCATGGGGCATGGCGGAGGGGTGGCCAGGGAGTGACAGTGTCCCTGCTGGGGGATGATGGGCTGTTCCTCCATCATCCTGCACTCACCCGCCCTCTGGCTTGGGCCCCGACCCGGTCAAGGGGTCACATTCGGCCGTGGGCTCTCGGTTACCCACCCTCAGGGGAGGGATATTTCCAGGGACGGTGAGGCCAGGCCTCCACTGACCCGGTCTCCCTGTGCCGGGGGGCCTGAGGCCCATCGGCAGCCCTGCCTCTCACAGGGTGCGTGGCCCCGGGGACCCCCCCTCTCTGGTTAAGCGTTGGCCAAGGTTAGTGGGTGATGTTAGGGCCACATGTGGGAGTCCTTTGCTGGCTGGCACCTCGCTGCCTCCCCGCCCTCTCCCCCGCCCTGCGTGGGCTCCAGCCAGACCCGGGCCCCACATGGGGACCAGAAGTCCTGTGTCTTCGTACCTTCTTTATGGACTTCTGCGGGTGGAGGGGCGCCTGGCGTGCGGGCGGCGGGAGGAGAGAGGAGAGGTTAGGCCAAGAGCACACGGCACGTCCTTAGGGGGTGGGGACACGCGGGGTGGCAGGAGGGCTGAGGGTGTCGCGGGGGCCGGGCTCCTGGACCCCACTTACCTTCCTCCTGGGCCTCTTCTGAGGTGGGAGCCGCGGGACAGGAGGGAGAGAGGAAGCAAGGACAGTCGTTAGGGGGGAGCATGAGCAGTGGTGGGAGGGGCCCTCGGGGAGAAGGGGCAGTGGGTGCTCCAGGCTGGAGGTGGTGAGCCCGGGAGACCTGGGCCTGGACTCTGCCTCTGTCCCGTGAGCACCCTCGGGCCCTTTGCTGCCTCCTTGGGGTCGTGGGACCGCGGCCGCCCGCCTGCCCCAACACGGGGGTGTCTGTGTGGGAGGGTTTTGGCGGAAATGGGGGGCAGGGGAGCCTTCGCTGGGGAAGGGGCAGTTCCCCAGGACCATGCGTCCCACTCAGAGAGGAGTCTTTCCACCTTTTTTGGCACAAAAAGAAACGTTTTGCTTACGTTGTTAGGCTAGCGAAGTGTTTTCAAAACATGTTCAAAACATAGAACATAGCACCCAGAGCGCCTCACGGCCCAGCCTGGTGAGGGTGTGGGGACGCCTCCCACACGGTTCCCGGGTGCCGTGGCACCCCTTTGTTCCGCACCCACCCAGGCACGACCGCGGGCCTCCCCCCCAGATGCCAGCCCAAGCGAGGGAGGGGGCTCCAGATCGGGCCGAAGCTTATGCCCCAAGACGGGGATGCTGAGAGAGACAGGGACACAGAGATAGGGAGAGAGACAGAGGCAGAGAGAAAGAGTCAGACGGAGAGAGCGAGAGACAGAGACGGAGACAGAGAGAGGGACAAGCAGGGTCCGCACCACCCGGCCCTTGATGTAGGTGAGGGTGAGTCTTAACCGGCACGTGTCAGCTCAGTCCCTGCAGCACCACGGGGATGTGCAGGAACGAAGGATTTTCTATTAGTGGATTAAGAGATGGGAGGTCAGCAGGGACATCGGAGAGTAGTTAATGATGAGACACACAGTTAACCGACGGACAGGCTCCGGGAGCCGAAGTCCAGTGCGGGTGAGGCCGAGCCGCAAGCAGAGGTTCTGAGCTAAGGGGCGGCGGGGCCGCTGGGTCGGGGTGGGGGGCATGCGGGGCTCCCAGAGTTACCTTCTTCCTCGTAATGCTCTGCAATGGGGTAGAACACAGGGGCCGTGTCAGCAGGGGGCGGGGGGCCCGGAGCCAGCTGCCCCAGCCCCGGAACCCTGAGGATGGGGACCGGGGGTCCCTGGGCCCCGAGGAGACTGCCAGCTCCAGGGGAGAAAAGCCCGCAGGGCTGGGGGATCTGGTGCTGGGGCACCCAGGTCCTGCTGGGTGAGCTTGAAGGGGCGGCCAGGGCCCGGGACCCCCTCCCGGATGCCGCGCCGGAGAGCCAGCGGGACAGGCTGGGCATACGGGGCAGGGTTTTCATGTGACCACATCTCGGGGACATGATCTTGGAGAAAGAGGGGGGTCCCAGCCGCAGGGGCGGGAGTGGGGAGCCCATGTTCAGAGGGGGTCCCACCCGCCGCGGACCGTGACGCTTCTTGGGGTTCCCCGCCAGGGGTCCCCAAGGACAGCCACGTTGTCAACAGTTGGACGGGCCTGCCTCAAGCGTGAGCTTTCCGTCTGGGGTGGACGCAGAGAGGAGACCGTTTGACACTTACCGTCCACCTGCTCACTGTTGGGGGTAGAGGGTAAGAAAGAGAGAAGGGGGGGGGGAGAGAGAGAGAGAACGGGTGAGGTGGGCTTTCACTCAGCGGCTCGTAACAAACACCAGCAGGTCCTCTGGCCTCTGAACACAGCTCAGGTCCAGGGGCCCACACGGGGCGGGCAGCTACTCAGACTGGTACTCACACTTCCTCGTCCGACATGGTGGGAGGGTTGTTTCTGTGGGGGCGGGAGGGGACCAAGACGAGAGTCAGGAAGGCCTTGGTCTAGGAGTGCTGGCGTGGGCGAGCGCTGGGCTCTTAGGGCTGGGGGTGTGAGGGGACGTCCAAGGACAGGGTGGAGGCCAAGTGTCCGGCCTTGGGCGGGCCTCCTCACCAGGCCCCCACAGCCCTCCTCGCCGGCCTCTGCTCCCACCCTGCCCCCCTTCCTGCCCCGGCTCCAGCCTGGAGCTTGGAATCGCAGAGTTGGACGGGATGCTGGAAGGTCGTGGCGTCCACCCCCCACCCAGGGCCGACATCCTCTGTATAGCACTCCCCGAGGAGGGGCGTCTAGGCTGCTTTGGACAGCAGGGAAACCCTGCTGACGCGGACTCAAAACCCGCTTCGTGATGGGCTGTGCCTTTGGGCCGAGGTCGGGGGGCTCCCCAGGAGCCCCTAGATTACAGAGCCCAGCTCCCCCAGTGTGTGCGCCTGGCCCCCGCCATCCCTGTGACACCTCTCCTGGTGTGAGCTCCAAGCTCCCTTCCCCCATTGATGCTTTCCTGCAGGGACCCCACGTCTTCCTTCTGGGGTGCCCTGGGCACCCCCAGGGCCCTGTGCAGCCCCCTCTCTCCAAATCACAAGAACGTACGAGCCGTTCCATCTTCTCGTCTCCCCACCTCCCCCCCGAGCTCACGGGGACGGGATCTGGCCGCGGCCGCGTGCCCCCAGCCCGGGGCCCGAGCGCGAACGGAGTGGAGGCCCCATCTGGCTGGCCCTCCCCGGCCTGCTTTCCCAGGCCCCTCGGACGCTCTTGAATTTGTCAATGTCTGCAGGGAAGCTCACGTGTGCAGGTGCGGCCCGCGCCAGGCCAGTGCGCTCAGGGACCCTCTTTCCGTGAGCTGGCCGCCGCACACGCCTGAGGCGGCCCGGGGCCTGGGAACGCTCTGAGCAGCTGTATCACACTGTTGGCCCGGGGTTTTAAAACACAAAGTTCATGACAACATATCACAGCTTAGTGGAAGACAATAACCGTGCCCCCCCCAGGGAGCTGCGTATAAGAAAACACAAGCTCATCATCCGAGGAGGCCTGAGCATCACGGCGCTAAGGTGGGAACAGTTTTCCGAAGCCTCTGTCAAGAATGTTAATTTTCCCAGAGCAATTTAAGCTCCGTGCAGAATTAACCCACAGATCCCTGCTCCCCCCACCCCAGCCCGGGGAAGCGCGTGGCTCTTCCCTGGAAGAGGGCTCGGCCGCCCCCTCCGGTTACAGCCTCCCGCCTCGTGTACGGCTGGGGTCTCTCCCTGTTCCCGGGCCCCGTCTCTCCCCGTGGGCCCTGTCCCCAGCACCCCAGCCCACCGGGGGCCACTCTCTAGGATGGGAGGCTCCATGAGAGCCCGGGGCCTCGCCCTGCTGGCCCCCCCTCGACCCGGCCAGGGCCCTACACCTGTTGGCAGCCTCAAGTGGGGGCTGGTGTGGCCTGAGCCCAGGGGCCGGTTATTTTTAAGGAGCCAGTGGCAGCTGAGGTGTCCAGAAATAGGCACCCAAATCAGCCAAGACACCTCTGCCCAGAAACCCAAGACGCTGGGAGGGGGGCTGAGAGGGCAGCCGCGGAGCTCAGGTCTCCTCCTGGCCAGCTCCCCGCCAGCCCCCGCAGGTGTCCCAGGCCCGCCTGACCTCCCGCATCTTGCCTTCCTGCCTTCTGGGCCGGTGTCCGAGGGGGTGCCCAGGAGGACCCCCGTATCCCCAGGCAGGGTGCCTGCAAGCCCCTGGCAAAGTCTCACTCTCCCGGGCGAAGCTGCTGCTTCTCCTGCCCCTCTGGCCAGGGGAGCCCTGAAGGACACATCGCAGGGCTGCTCTGTCCCCTCACCTCACTGTCTGTCGGGGAGGGGCCAAGGTGGGGGGTGCCAGAGGGCAGGGACAGCATTTCGACAGCGGGGAAGGAAGCCCATCCCTCAGCGGGCTGACAGTGAAAATAGCCCCTGAGGTCAGACCTCCTTGGGGACACATACCCCCTTCTCTCCTTCCCAGGTGACGAGATAGGGTGGGAAAGGCGGCAGGCCCTGTCCTCACTGGCTGTGGGCCCCCGGCCGCGTCACCACTCCCCGGCTGGGCCCCCACCGTATCCTGAAGTGGCTCCTGGCCCGGCCTCCCCCGGTGGCTGAGGACACCAGCAGGTGCGAGCGCCCGGTCTGGGTGAAGTCAGGAGGGCAGCTGAGCCCACGGCATGGGGCAGGGGGAGGCGGGAGGGCAAGGAGCAGGGTGGGGCCCTGAGGAGCATGCCCTCCACCCTGCGAGGACAGAGGCCCAGGTCCCCACTGCGCCCCCTGCCTGGGCCCGTCTGCCCCTGTCCTTGACCTCTGGGAGGTGCCCCTGGGGCTGCGAGGGTCCCGGCCTCCCCTCCTCACGGAGCTGCCCCTGGGGATGAATTACACAAGCCCCCCGACGTGTTCGTCTCTATAAATGCCAGGATTGGAGGCAATGACTGATTGAGGCCAAGAACCCCCGGCTTGTGCGAGGGGCTGGCCTTGGTGCCCTCAGCTTATTGGAGTCCCCGGGGAAAGGCCCAGATGGGCCGGGGCTGGGGGGGGGGGGGGCAGGAAACGGCGCCCGGGGGCCCTCGGGGCTGTGGGCAGCGCCCTTCCTGGGCACCTCTGTCCAGCCCTCTGCCCCGTTCCTTCCAGGGAGCCCCCACCTTCCTCCTCGGAACACCCCGGCTGTCGCGTTCCCATTCAGAGTGGCTTCCCCCACGTCCAGAGAGCATCGCCCTCTGCGCCAGCACCCTTGGGACCCTGGGCTGTCTTCGTGGGCTCTCCAGGCCGCCACGCTCGGAGCTGAGACATGTGCGAACACGACGGCCTGGCCCCTCTCAGCACCCCGGGACCCAAGACGTGCCTCAAATGCCGGGCCGGCCCCGCCCAGCCCTGGGCCATACCGACCTGTGGCTGAGTCTGGAGAGAAGGGTTAGAGCTCCCTGTGGACAGGACCGGCTCAGGCACTGCCCGCTCAGCTCACGCCCTCATGTTATAGTGACATTTGATCTTTCCCAGCAGCCCATTGGCCAGGGGCTGGGTGGCCGGGCATGTGGGGCAGGCGGGAAGGGGCCGTGCCCACGCAGGCCCCTTACCAAGTATAGGAACAGCAGAGGAGGAGGCCTGAGGAGGCGCGGATGTGGGGGACGTGTCTGGAGACGGAGGCAAGGTCCACCCTCCTCCCCGGGAAGTGTCAGCTTCTATTTTTACTCCCCCGACAGCGGGCACATTCTTGATGGGCTGAGGAGGGGTGACGGGAGGGACGGGGTGGCCCCAGGGATGCAGCCAAGGCCCTCTCTGGGCCAGGCTGCTGTGGGGTCCCAGACGGGGGCCCCGACTCCCCCCCAGTCCAGCTGCCCCCCGCCCCCCACGGTGTCTGGGGCGTGGGCACTTTGCCCCAGGCCCACCCGCGTCCTCCATCAGAGCACGCGGCCCGGCGTCCCAGAGACCGCCGTGGAGAGCAGGGCTCTGGGCGTCCTCAGCCAGGCCTCTGTCCTGTCTGCGCCCCGCTTAGCGACCAGGCCTGGCTCTCGCGTGGGTGCTGTTGGGGCACAGGACAGACGGGTGAGAGAAGAAACAGCCCAAACAGGATCTCGACTGCTGACGGTCCTGCTGGGTCTCCCCCAGCGACCGGGGCCGTACCCCTTCCTTCAGCCTGGGAGCCGCCGTCTGGGGGTCCAGACCCTGAGGTCCTCTCTCCCCGAGGCCAGACTCAGCGTGCTGCTCAGGGCGGGCCCCGCCACGTGCCCGTGGAGCCTGGCTGTTCTGTCCACAGAACTCCAGATGGCACCATCCGCCCGGCAGACACCTTTCCCGGGCCTCTGATGGTCCCCTCACTAGCTGGCAAGGCCACGAGCTCCGACGGGCCCGACCCTCGGATTAGGGAAACCGAGACACGAAGAGGGGTCAGAGCAGGCCGGCACCTCCTTCCAGACCCGAGGGCTCCAGGCAAGGGAGGAGCACCGGCGGTGGGGTCTGCTCGGTGCGCAGGACCAGGGTGAGCCCTGGGGAGACCCAGAGGAGGCTTCAGGTCAAGGACGTCGGGGGGCTCGCACGCCCCAGCCCCCAGCTCCACCCAGCTCTCTGCCTGCTCTGGGGCCTCAGAAGCTTCCCGAAGGCTTCCGCTGGCACCTCATTCAATCCCTGCAAGTCGGAGATAAGGCCACAGGGACCCACGACAGGAGAGGCATGCCCACTGTCACACAGCAGGGGGAGGCAGGGACCCTCTCCCTCCTGCCTCGCGGAGGCTGGAGTTACTGGGGACACCCCTGCCCCCTGCCCCCCGTTCCCGTCTGAATTTGTTCCTGCCGTCTGATGCTGTCTCCCAAGCTGCCCAGATCCTCGGATGGGCCAGGGTTTCGGGGGGCCACATACAGCTGACCCTTGGCCAACTCTGCCCAGCGGGGCCACCTGAAGACTCACTTCTAGGGAGGGCCCCACGAGGCTCCCGGGGGCCGCCGTGGCCTCTTTCCTGTGGTAAGGTTTCCCTTCTCAGGCTGGCTCCTCTGGGTCCTCACCACCCCCTGCCCCCCCAGACGTGGGCACACTCGTGGGGACAGCACGTTCGGGACCATTCGGCCTCGTCTGTAGGCTGTGCTGGGGCTTGGTCGAGGAAACCCCGTGCACACCCAGCCCCGCTCAGACCACCTTGCTCCCGGGAGCCGCCCGCTGCCCCTTGCCGCTCTTAGGAGCGGCACCTGCCGACGGGCACGCCCAGGCCCTGCAGTGGCCCTCCTCGGCCAGCAGAGGAGGGTGGCCGCCCGCTCAGTGGCCTCGGCCCCTGGCAGGTGCTCTCCCGTGAACGGGCCGAGCCAGAGAACGGGCGCTGAGGTCAGAGGAGGAACAGCACAGGTTTTATTTTGGGTATCCGTGACCTCCCCCTCAGGGCACCAGGCCCGTGGTGCGGCCGGACAGCATTGAGCAGGCTCTGCTGGACAGGCCGCAGGCCTCCGAGAACCTTCGACAGGTAATCCACACCCCAGTCCACCTGGCCTGGCCGGGCAGGGGTGGGAGGAGAGGGGCAGGGCAGGGGCCTCCCCGGAGGGCTGGAGGGGGTCTGGGGTCCCGGGGTGGGGGCAAGGGAGAAGGGGGGCCCAGCCCTGGTCGGGGAGGAGGATGGGTCTCAACCCCCAGAGAGGGTTTGAGAACTGACCACGCAGGCCCTGGGCCCAGGGGCGGTGGGGGGTGGCCTCCAAAGCCGGAGGTGCTGAGCAAGGCCACAGAGCAGGGAGGAAGCCGGGACAGGGAGAGGCGGCCCCAGGGCAGTTTGGCTCCAGCTACCCTTCAGGGGGGACCCTAGGGTGGCGGGGGAGAGCGGGGCCCCTCAGTCTGGTCCGGGCCCCTGTTTGCACGGGTGGGGTGGCGGGGCCCGAGGGACCTTGAACAGGTCCTGGGCACCCACACTGGTGCCAGCCCCACGGGCTTGGGCTCTGCCAGGCCCCAGATAGAAGCGGCTGACGCAGCACTTCAGAGACGGTCCTGCCACAGCCCCGTGCGTCTGCGGCCCCACCAGCCCGGGTGCCTCTTTACCAGATCACTGGTCTGTTCCGCCTCCCGCATGCGGGGCTGGAGCTCTGCGCCGGGGTGGGGCTCCCGGGCAGGCGGGACCGATGGCAGAGGGGCAGTGCCTGGGTATCCCAGTCCAGGTTCCCCTTGGGCAGGAGCCCTTCTGAACCTCTGGACCCGTCTGGCGCACAGGCCCCGACCCGCAGTCTCTGAGAGGCAGGGTCTTACGTCATGGCGGTAGCGGGCTTGGAGACACTCAGAGGAGACAAGCCCTGGGTCCCCGTCCCCGAGGCTGGGCTGGGGTGCGAGGCTCCTGAGAGGGCCGGGGTGGGTCAGGGCAGTGTGGCCGTCTGGCTTCCTGGCACCGTCCGCCCCACCCGCCGCCTCTCATCCCGTGGCGTCATCCGCTCTGACCCCGGCTCACTGTACCGCCATGGGCTTTGCGGCCGCCTCTGCCGCTCCCCTTGGCTGATGTGCCATCCCGCTGGGTGGGGAGGGAGGACGTGGCGTGCCCGCTGGGAGATGCGCCCCGGCTGGCAGAGCACGGCCCTGGACGCAGTCTCCAAGGTGGGCCGTGGTTAGAAAAGATGGCTGTGGCTTGGTGGAGCGTTAATGCTCCTGACTGGTCCGTATTTACTCCATCCTCCAGGAGGCAGGCCGATTTTAATCACAGAGACTTCTGAAAATGGAGGTTCCCAGCAGAGCCAGACCTAGAACGCCAAAGGTCCAGTGGTCCTGCTCTTCACTGGGTTCCCCAGACAACAAGGGCAGGAGAGCCCAGTGTCAGATCTGGGTGCGGGCCCAGGGCTGGGGAGCACACCCTCCGCCCTGTCTCCGCCTTCACACACTGGTCCGTTCACCCACCCACCTGTTTGTTCCCATCCGTTCTCACATTCGCTACCTTCTTTCCTCCCTTCCACTGTCCATCCAGCCATCATCCATGCGCCCACCAACACACCCAGCCAGCCAGCCAGCCACCTACTACCCATGCAGCACGCATTGATCTGACTGCCTCTCCATCGCTTCTTCCATCTCCTGTCCATACAATGGTTTTTCTGTCCAACTACCTTCTGTACATCCACCCATGTACCCGTCTATCCTCTATCAATCCATCTATCCATTAGCCAAGATTCATCCACCCATCTTGCTATTTATACATCAGTCCACCCACCTATCCATCCCTCCACTCCTTCACCCATCATCCATCATCCATATCTGTCCATCCACCCTTCCATCTATCATCCCTCCACTGGCCCATTCGTCCATCCATCCATCCATCCACCCGTCTGTCCATCCATTCGTCCATCCATCCATTTGTCCATCCATCCACTCATCCATCCATCCATTTGTCCATCCATCCATTTGTCCATCCATCCACTCATCCATCTGTCCATCCACTCATCCATCCATCCATTTGTCCATCCATCCACTCATCCATCCATCCATCCCTCCACCCATCCATTCATCCATTCATCCACTCATCCATCCATCCATCCATCCACTCATCCATCCATCCATCCATCCATCCATCCATCCATCATCCACTCATCCATCCATCCATCCATCCATGCACTCATCCATCCATCTATCCATCCATCCATCCATTTGTCCATCCATCCAC